AGAATTTTAATTTTTATGCGTTATTTATATCTATAGACATCTAGATTTTCATTAGATTTTTGAAATATGGATCTTTTTAATTTAGAATCTATAAAGATCTTTCTAATTTTGTTACGTGTTATTTTATTTCGATAAACTTTATACATTCTATCGTTACACTGTACGATCTTACGTTCATATTAAATTATAAATGAGTCATCATTCGAATACTTTCGCGTGCCTGTGTAAATGCTCGGATATTTTTTCAATTTTCTATAATGCATTTAATAGTCTGGTCAAAGGATAACGAGCCGCGTTAAACGTAAACGAAAACAGTCTGTCGCGTTCTTCGTTAGAGAACCCGGTTCGTCGGCAACGTTTCCTCGCGAATTGCGCGTAATTATTTAATATTTACGAAACCCCGTTTACCCAGCAACAGTCTGCATATCGCAATTACCAACAAGTAATTTTAGCTCCTGTTCGTGTTGCGAACAGCACCTGATTTTCTGCCTTGAGGAGAACCGCCGCGCCGCTGCAGAACGTTAGTCGATATTTCAACCAGCGGTACATGATCATGTTCGTCTCATGACGTGTCTATTATGCTGTAACGACGTCTTTCACTGCAAAGGTACGATACATCACGTTCCGTTCGTAATTATTATTTCAACCGCAGTGCGACTCGAGTAGCGAATTACTTCGATCGACTTGTCGATCTTCCTCGATGAAATTTCAATCCAATATCGTAATGCATAATCGTAGACTAAATTGGAATAAAAAGACTGTCGTTTTAAGGAAACAGTGTGGTAATTTTACATTTAACGATCGATACTATTTCCCCTTTTCTAAACGTACGCTGCTAGTCATAAAGCACACTTGGTCGAAACGTTATCAATGTCTGGGCTATTCTAACTTTGTGAAAAGAAATCGTGCAACAATTTTCCTGGGATAACTTTAAAGGTTGAATCTTCCATTTACCTCGCACCCTTTCTCATTTTCTCGAAAATGTTTTCACGCTAGAACGCGAAAACGAGCGTACAAATATTATACGCGAAAGAATATTTCAAACAAACGTCTGCCAAAATTTGGAAAAGCTACGCGACTAAACCTACCATTTTACAGATTAAAACCACACTTTCGCAAAGATCTCCTGGAAAAATAGATGTACAATTTTTCCGTCATTTTGTTTTACTTCCAATAAAGAGTGTGTCTTCGATATTGGAATATCCAATATAAACCATAAATATTACAACTTATAAATTAAGACAGAATATTTTTGTCTTTATATTCTGGTTTTGATTAAAATCAATTTCTAGATCGTGTGTTTCTTATAACATAAAGTATTCAACAAAGTAAAATTTGAGATTCAGAATTTTGCGACGTTCTTCACTATTATTCCTATAAATTCGATTGTAAAATTCGAAAAAGCATTAAGCGTATGACTGCAGAAAATATTTAAATGAACCTTAAATATTTACGTTTTATGCAAGTATTAAAATATTTAATATACAAACATCACGAAGTCGAAATCATTGGACAAAGATTGGCTATTCGAATAATAAAAGGCAAACAAAATCAACGATTTATTTACATTTATTCGATCGAATAGTTACATTTTTTATTATACGTTAGAAAACATTTCTAATTTTAATATGCTATCAAAGAACAAACATTTATCCAATGCGTGAATTGCCATTAAGTCATAATCTTGAATATTTCCATTGTTTAAAAATGAAAGATATTACAGAAAGGTTAGAATGATATTAATGAAAAAATACTAGGGAAGCAATTATCGATAGGGATTCCACCATTAATTTAAACGATCGTTTTCAAACAAGACTGATACATTCATAAAACGAAAATTTTTAATTGTTCGCTAACATTTTTGCAAAATTCATAACATAGGATATAAGTTACGTTTCCTTAATTTTACAATGTAATGAATGAATAAACGTTAATTTCACTTTATAATGTATATCATTTCGCTATGCTAATTCGTTTTTATTAATTCATATTCATTAAGCGTCCGGTGACTTATGAACGGATGTGTATATTAAATCCTATTGCTCTGTTTATTAATATTTTGTTAACCTTTCATTGTGAGCGTTTACAGTCATCGTGCATACGTTGACTTGTGCATGTAACTGTACGTAGCATCAATTTTTAAATAATCTAAACAAAATGTTATGAGCTGCTTTCTTAGAAACTAACAAAGATACCGGTTCCATTTCCTTTTTAAATTAAATGGTCCCTTGGAATTAATATTTTCACGTGCAACAAATGTTTTTAATGAAAGAAGATATTATTCTTTTGTTATTTGGGTAACTCTTATCAAACTAAATAGTATTTACTCGAACCATTTTTTTCTTGTTTCTATTGTAAAAAAAAATAAAAATACCAGTCACATGTCTAGAAGCTCATATTTCTAAACAGAATCGAAATAGTTTAGAATAGGTTTTAATTTATTCTAATTCTTTGCGTTTCCCCTCCGCATTCTACACCTCATTCGGAAAGTGTATCGAAGATCATTCATATATTCTTTAATCTCATAATCGCGCTTTTATTACACACGTCGTAGTGTCTCGTAACCTTATAATTGTGGTAGAAGTAAAATCGTACAATAAGCGAGTAAGCGATAAGCGAGTAGCGTGCGAGCAGAGTCCAATATGGCGGCGCTACGCGTACATGTGTTTTTCGTTCGTTGCTTGATTACTTATTTAATTACTTGTTTAATAAATATTGTTTAATAGTGTTCCGTTTAGATCTGTGCATTCATCATTAACCCGTTCCAGACTCGTCCCTCGCTGAAGATCTGACAATAATAACTACATATGTACATATATGTCTTTTTGACGAAGCTAGACTTCAATTTACTCTAATTCTTTGCGTTTCCCCTTTGCGTTCTAAGCCTTCTTCAGAAAGAGTGTTCAAGACCGTCCGTAAATATTTATTTCGTAAATACACTCTCGTTACAAACATTCCTCGCGAGAACGTTTTAGCAAACACACTCTAGCCGACGGTTCTGTGCGCTAAAAAACCTAATTCGTCGCCTCTTGACATGTTTTCAGCCCGTTTATGTTTACATACACTTTTTGGTATCATCTATTTTTGGTATTTACCGCTGAAATTAATTTTCCTACCAGATTCATTCAGCATTGCTCGAAAGACGAATGTGTTAATTTTTTTTTATCGTTAGACAAATTTAATACGCATGGCTCTGTATTTTTATGGGATTAAAATTACTGATAAATTGCTCGTCTTTGTATTTTTAAGAGATGAGGGGCGTATCTTTTCCAGTAGATCTGTGGTTTTTTGTATAAACTTCTCGAAAGATTTCATCGGGCCAAATGTCGAGCAGACCGAAACGAGAGTTCAGTATATTGACGATTATTTCCTGTATAATGGGCTATAAAAGGCTATTAGTATTCCTATACGACGACACCTCGTAATCCTCAGTCCTCAGCGAATATCACCCGCAAATTGAGACTTATCGTTGACTTCATCCCCTTAAATCGCGAACGTAGTTTTGAAGGACTTTCCCATATAATTATTCATCAATAGCGTCCAAGGAAACGTTTTCTTCTTTTTCGTTTCCGGGCGTGCAATAAATTCATAAGGATTATCCGTATGGAACTCGTCTCTCCTAGCGTCGTTTTACTTTTTTCCGATAGTACGATCGTTCCTCGTGTCCGTGAAACATATAACGCTTTATGAGGTCAGAATAATCATACTTTATATTTCTTAGCTTTATATTAAAGTGTGATGGTAGAAGGAAAGATGGACGGTCGATCTTCAGGGGCTTGAACGTATATTCTTGTTCCTGGGATAATTCCGTAAGATCTCGGTATGAATCTGAATATATATCACACTGTTAATAACTTGAAATTGACAAAAGCTGTTAGCAGGAAAAAGTTCTTTTTTTCAACAGTTTTTCATTTCAGACCCCATTTAGTTGAAACGTTATATCACGGTAATATTGTAGAACGTTTTATAGAATTATCCCCCTCTATTCTGGAAAAGTATTGTGCTCGAAAATCCTATTGTACGTATAGAAAAATACATCCCTGTCGGACGTTATATTAAAACATAAAATATTAAAAATAAACAGAGACACTATTTGAGAAACGCCTAAAAATTCGCAGTATTATTATAAAAATATTGAAAATGAATACAGTTACTATTGTAAGAATTTCTGTTCGTTATTTAACATTTTTCTATATAAAAGAAATATAAAGAGTGTTCGGCCACCCCTGGGAAAAATTTAAATGGGGGATTCTAGAGGCCAAAATAAGACGAAAATCAAGAATACCAATTTGTTAATGGAGGCTTCGTTAAAAAGTTATTAACAAAAAAAATAAAAAATTTCAAATCGTTCTGGTAAAATTATTTTCGGTTGTGGGGGTCAATTACAATCATTTTTGGTGAATACACATACCTCCGAAATCCTATCCATTTTCGAGAAAAAAATTCAGTACGGGCGGAACTTTAAACGTTAACAACTTTTTAACAATGCCTCCATCAACAAATTGGTATTCTTGATTTTCGTCTTATTTTGGCCTCCACAATCTCCCATTAAAATTTTTCCCAGGGGTGGCCGAACACCCTGTATATTAAATAATAAAGTAGTAAGTAGAATTCGTAGTAGCCAACGATTAGGTACCTACTAGATCACGTACATTCGTTTTACTGACACGAGGACTCGTTCGCCGTGACTGCTGCAAATATTATTACCTACAAGCTTTCGCAACGAATCACACAATCAGATAAAAAAAAAATAATGACCAACGCGCGAGTAGCGAATGAAAGAAACAGCAACCAGCAATCGGGCCTTCAGATCTCCAAGCAATTATTTTCCCAGGGAAATCAGATGTCAAATTTATTCTAACTACAGGGGACGAGAATTTCGTGCGACAGAAACAAATCGAAAAGGATCAGATAAAGTGAAACAGGGGCAAGAACGGGACCGTAAGAAGTTATTTTACCCAAGGAAAAGGATAAAGTATCGTTACGTTCGCTGTACTCACTCCAACAGTTGGGGTGGTTTGAAGCTGATGTCCAGTCGATAGGTAGCCTCGCAGCTCAGTTTCACCGTCTTCAATTGACGGAACCTAGCCGATGTTTCCATCTTGCAGTAGACTGGACCGGCAACCGGTTCCCTCCTGAGGGACAAGGTCACGCGAAAATGTCCATCAGCACTCATCTAGCATCATAATCGTACTTTAGGAGACAAAAAGATAAAGAAAGGCGTAAGGAATCTTCGATGAGAACGACGACCGAAAGGAAATCGCGCGGCAAATTGCTCGATCCGCGGAATCGAATGACCACGACTTTGCAAATTTCGCGCACACCCGGAGGAGCGCCGAACGAACGGACATTGGCAACGTGCGCCACGGGCGTCGCGACGCTTACTGAGCCGACGACTCGTAGGTGTAACGCGATTCCGACACGCGACGGCGGCTTTGACAATTTTCTGTTTTACATCGCCGCCCCCTTCTCAATCCCAACCCCCTTGCGACGACGAAGAAACTCTTTTAGCGAACATCGATCGAAAAATAAATCTGTAGCATTCTAAATTTATCATATTAATATAATATTAATATGCATAGTATTTTGCAATAAAATTTTCTTGCAATTCGATATAAATTTTGTTCCATGCTTTGTATACAGTCGTTATAAGTATTAGTCCTTCTTTAATTTTGAGTCGATTGAAACATTACAACCGACCCCAACTGCCGGTGTTGCAATCGTCTCCGACCGTACTTGTGAAATTTAATTATAATTTTTTATTAATGGTACGCTTATAACTGCCATGTAACGATCAGTATTTTTTTTTATAAAACATTAAATTATGACTTCTCATCAGTAAAATATTAATTGTTTGCTTGCCAAACACTTTGGAAATCCAGATGGCCTTGATCCAATTTCGAAAGTGGGTCACCAGCATTTTGGATATGTTCTGAGCACTTTTGGGATTTCAGTTTTAAATGAAAAAACGGTCTCTTATAACTAAGGGAATGATTTGGAGAGGAAGAGAAAGGTAAAAATGATGAGAATACATAAAATTCTTTGAAATTATATCATTTATTGCCATAGATTTACATTATACAAAGCTTTAATACATATACAGGGTGTTCGGCCACCTCTAGCAAAAATTTTAATGAGCGATAGTAGAGGCCAAAATAAGACGAAAATCAAGAATACTAATTTGTTGATGGAAGCTTCGTTAAAAAGTTATTAACAATTAAATTCAAAAATTTCAAATCGTTCTGGAAAAATTATTTTCGGTTGCGGGGGTCAACTACAATCATTTTTGGTGAGTACACATACCTCCGAAATCCTATCTACTTTCGAGAAAAAAAATCGAGTAGGTGCTGAAATTTTTCGGCGAAAAAAAATTTTTCAAATCGTTCTAAAAAAATTATTTTCGATTGCGGGGATCAATTACAATCATTTTTTATCATTACACATACCTCCGAAATTGTACGCACTTTCGAGAAAAAAATTCCTTACTGAAAATCCAATTAGGTGCCTAAATTTTTCAACGGAGAAAAAAAATTGCAAATCGTTGTGGAAAAATTATTTTCGGTTGCGGGGGTCAATTACAATCAGTTTTTGTCATTAGACATACTCACGAAATCCTGCCCACTTTCGAGAAAAAAAATAGAGAAGGTGTGAAATTATTCGAGAAAATTAAAAAATTGCAAATCGTTGTGGAAAAATTATTTTCGGTTGTAGGGTTCAATTACAGTCATTTTTGGTGAATAGACATACCCCCGAAATCTTGCGCATTTTCGAGAAAAAAATTCAGTAAGGGCGGCACTTTAAACGTTAATAACTTTTTAACGAAGCTTCCATCAACAAATTGGTATTCTTGATTTTCGTCTTATTTTGGCCTCTACTATCGCTCATTAAAATTTTTGCTAGAGGTGGCCGAACACCCTGTATAACATGTCAGAAGTTGTCAAGAAGGGTCAGCAGGGGCCAGCAGAGGCATGCAGAGACCAGTAGGAGCAAGCAGTAACAAATAGTAATCATTATACGTTGTCAGAAGTATCAGGGGTGATCAGCAACGATCAGCAGAGGCCAGCAAAGGCCTGTAGAAAAATTGAAAAGTACATGTAGTCATACCTTGTACCTCATACTTTTTACCTTATTACTGCTATAGGTAAAACCACAGACGAGATATATGAATAGACGTTTCACGTAATGTAATTTTTCGGCCGGAGTTTCTGGGGTCCCGGGACCCCATTACCATTTTCGTGTCACTCGCAACGTTATCAACAGATTCAGAAATTAACACAAGAGGAAGTGAGACAGAAAATAAAATTACATAAATTTTATTATTTTTTAACGGAATTAAAGCTGTAGGGTCTATCATTGGACATTAATCGATTAATTTCATTGGAGAAATCAATCGATTAAGAGTATTTAAAAATTTCAAGATTATTAAAATTCCTAAGGATATATTTCATTGATACGTACACCGCAAATTCTTTATTTTTTATTTTAAATTGTAATACATCATTTATTAAAAAAATAACTCGGCAGAAACGTATTTGCGACTCGAAATCAGTTTAATCAGACTGTGCATCGGGGCCCCGGAAACTTCTCATTCCTCACTTTCGCACACTATGCCCAATTGCGTGTACGTGAGCTCGTTGAGTTTCGGAAGAGCCGAGAAGAACAGGCTGATACTCGCTTTCCTTCTCGCTCTTGCATCGCTGACGTCGCTTACATTTCTCGAAAGCAAGCCTGCTGGCATCGCCACCCGTTCGAATCGTCAGTAAACGACAAAAGCCATCGTGACTGACAGACCTTACATTTCTCGACATCGGACCTGGGCGCTTTTTGAAGATTCATTGACTTTCCATACGAAGCGACCATGCGTTATACACATATACATGTTATACATGCTAGGAACTATAAGTTGTATAACTTACGTCGTATATCTACTTTCTAATAACATGGGAAAATTTTAAAATATAAAAAAATGTAAGAATACTGTAGAATTTTTGCAATGGAGAATTATTGAAGGAAAATGAATTGATTATATACATATGTATATATCGGACACATCCCTCGCAAACACGCTGCAAACATTAATGAGAACAAAACTGCAAATCTGTCCTTTTTTAAAACCCCGCAACTGATCTTTGACTCGGAACTCGTCCTCTTCATTTAGCAATTATAATAAACGTAGACTCATTAAAATTCGTAAAAATAACAAAGTTATAACCATTTAGAGGGAAGAGTACCCAACGGTTAATAATCATACCAGAAATTTTAAATGAGTTTTTCTCGAAACCATATTTTCGAAATTGGCTGACATGATATCACAAATTCATATTGATTAATGGATTTGAAATTTATAGAGACATGCCTGTATGTTAGAAATTTTGCCTTTGACGGTTCTGGGGTAAGTCCTGTGCCGTTCCTCACAGTGCTCTTACCGGAAGGTCCCACGCCTTCCCCACTCCGTGGCCAGATCCTTCAGGACAGTCTTCATTTTTTCCAGCAGTACGACGTCAGGTCGTCTGCCTCTTTTAACTACTCTTTCTCTATTCATAAACAATCAATGCCTCGACACGCGCTACCTGGGGACCCAACGCGGTCGTCCGCTATCGCGTCACCCGTTGCCAGGCCTGTTTAGTCTCATTCGCTCTTTAGGCCACATGCATCCCAAAACTCTGTCATAAATGTATCGTAGACTGAGCGTCCTTCAGTGGTCCTTACATTCGACTCTCTTGGAAAATACATTGTCGCTAGCGTTTCTGGAAAACAAAAGCCGATCCCCTATTTCGGGGGAATGTCCACGCGTCGCGTCCAACCATTGTTGCCGTGGCGAAATCGACTTTTTTGCCTTCGCCTTCGATTAAGATTAAGTAAAAGAGTTTCCTTCATTGGAAGAACAAAAATTTTCCAGTCCTTTATTTTCAGTAGGGGCGGTGTCAACTTCCATTCATTTTCATATGATTGATTTTAATGAGTCAGCGTTTTTTTAAATTGCTAAACAAAGAGGACAAATAGGACAGTATTCTCAAATATTTTCAGATTTAAAAATTTAAAATTACAGTGAAATTTATTCGGTTGTTTAGACCCAATAGTATTAATAGTATAAATATATGAACGCACGTTCATAAGCATAGTAAAAAAATGTCTTTTTTTTAATAGTTAAAATATGATCAAGGGGTCCTAAAACGTGTATTTCCGTAAAAAAAATTTCTGTTTCATTATGGTATTTTGCTTATACATTGTATACGCCTACATAGGTCGGAAAGTCAAAAATGCCTGGGCAGTCGAGAATCTCGGCTCGAGATTATGCGAGATCGAATTTCGGCTGTGTTAAGAGCAAGAAGGATAGACTGACATTCGCCGCCTTTCTCGAATCCTCGAAGAGATACGAAACGCCAGAACTCATATACAAGGAGGTTGGCATTAGTGTGTGTAAGTGGTGGGGCAGCTCCCTTTGGGCACGGGTCTGCCGTCTGATAATACTGCACTGTCTTTTTCAATCCCTCCCATAATCAACTCACATGTATTTACGCACACACTCAGCTGACTGCCCATCAATACTAATTCAGTGCCTAGTTTCTCAACTGACCGCCATCCATGAGAAGAGGCCGCTAAAATCAGCTCCGAATTTTCAGGTCGGTATGGCAGTCAGATTCGGCCGCGAAAGTCCATAAGGTGAAAGGTCTATTCATATATCTCGTCTGTGGTAGAAGTTAGTGATAATCGTTATATGTATGTTGTCAAAAATATAAGCAGTGGTCAGCAGAGGCCAACAGAAGCCAGCAGAGGCTGGAAGAGGCTGTCAATAGCTAGTAGTAATCGTTATACGTTACCAGATATATCAGAAGCGATATCTGAAATAATATACATATGTACACTTATACATAAGAATAATAAAAAAAAATTTCTTTTTTTTCAATAATTAAAATATGATCGGGGAGTCTTAAAACGTGTATTCCCGTAAAAAAAATTTCACAAAATTGTTTTTTCATTATGATACTATGCTTATGTGAGCCTGCATAGGTCGGAAAGTAAAAATGCCTGGCCAGTCGAGATTCCAAATCGTGTACCGTATTTGTTAATGCAACAATAGAGTACTCAGTAATTTAGATCACTTATAAATGCATCGCAATTAACGCCGAAGGTCTAAAATTGTCTAGAAACAGTCCTATTCCTGTCAGAACATACTCCCAACCTAAGCTTGACAATGCAACACATATTCCTAGTTTCTACGTTTCTTTGAGCAAATACACGGTTTCACATCCCGTCAAGCGTAATACACATTAACTTGAGACTATATGTACGTCAGTCTAATTAATAAACACTGTATAATTATTCCTGAAGACACCGGTAACCCATGCTTGACACTGCAACACGTATT